CAATCGACTCATTTTTTGACGCTGATTCCGAATATAGTATTCTTTTTATATAAAGTCTAGTTTTGGATGAAGAAAATTGAGAATTACCGGCAAAAACCCAGCTATTTTGGTCAAAATTTAGTAAAAACGATTCATCTCAACACAGAAAAGGAAAGAAAAAGAAATGATCCGTAGCATGGCGGGGAGTGGTGTGAGAATAGAATGAGATAAAATATTTCACTCCATCGTTTACGTAGAAAAATTAGATAGGTTTACAAAATTGACCTATACGTAGTGCACTCAACGTGATTCAAAGCGCCACCATCCGACAGAGTTTTGGGCCTAGAATCGATTTAACAGCTTATTTCTGCTCAGTTTTTGGTGCTGAATCTAAAAAAAAATTATTTTCAGAAGCAAAAAAGAATAAAGTAGAAAATTTTGCACATTTCGAGAAAGATGTGCTTTTCTCGAAAACGACACCTTTCAAGTATTTCGTATTTTTCGACTGAAAGGAAACATTGCTAAGCTAGAAAGTAGTTTTTCGTGATCAGAAGCTCAAGCTCTAGCCGATAATGTAAAAAAAACGCGAAAAAAATTTTTACTGAAAGTTTGAATTGCCAGCACCTTACCTACAGAACGTTAAAACTATGGTATTTTCTGCTATTTCAGTTATGCTTTCGTCTAATTCATCATGTGATCCGCGTTTTGATGACCAGATAAAAACATGTTCTGTCATTATTCCTTCTTATCTTGGACGGCTCATCTTGCGAACTCATAACGAAGATGACACTTCAATTCTTGCATCAATTTTCTCTGATCCTATCACGATGAAATATCTTCCTTTTGTTCAGCCACCCATGGGATGGGAAGAAGATGAAAGACGAAAGAAGAATAGACAATGGACTGAACAAGACTTTGCCGAGCGAGTCAAGGTACAAAATGAGACACGATCATATGGACAGAGCTGTATTCTCAACATCATCTTATTGGCGTCCGAGTCGGGTGAGGCAAAGAATAGATGTATTGGTACTACAGGCTATGTGGCGATTGAGACGGATGGAACTGGACATTTGGGTATCGTTACAGATCGAAACACGACTAAAATGGGATATGCAACAGAAGCTCTTTACACATCAATCGTTTTTGGCTTTGAAAGACTTGGTCTTACAAAGATAATTATGCAAACTGATGAGAAAAATGAAGCAATGAGAGAATGGTGTGAAAAGACAGCTGGACTCAAAGTGGCATGGAAGAATGACGTGCAAATTAATGGTTACGAATATACACAATGTGGATATACATTCACTATCGACGAATGGAACAGTGCGATAAAACAAAAGCTGGAAATGAAGATGAACAATATTATTGCTAGTCGAGCTCGTCAACCAAAGCCAACAAATATTTGATGTCACCATTTACTATTTAATAGTAGTTTGTTTCATGGTACCTTCGAGTCTATTTTGATAATAAATCCACTTACCCTAAATTCACCAGGGAAGGTCCCTATATGTGTCCCGGAATTTCAATGAAAACTATGTAGATTTGTAGAGTCAAGTGTACCTATCTCAGCTTTGAAACAATTAGGTGCTACCACTGCGCCGGTAAAAAAATTATAGGTGAAGCATTTTCCGAAAAAATTGATGCATATACGTTACTATACATTTTTTTTCTTAAGAATTTTTTCTTTTCGAAGTAATGATGACTAAGATCCAGTTTTGTACTGTTGAATAAGGTACATGTAACTCCACAAAATAGCTTATCTCGTTTGTTTTGCTATGAATGAACTAAAGAAAAGATCATGTGATTATTTTGGATATATCCAAAAATAACCGGTGATATTCAACCATTAGATCGGTATTTTTTTCGTCAATGGAAATATTTTAAACGCAAAATTTATGATTGCGTGGCTGTTGATCAAATAGACATTGATATTTGTTCCAGAAACTCCATTTAAAAAATGCATTCTTTAATACACAATCAATTGGCAGCTAAAAAATTTTCTCTTTTGATTAAATATGCTTGGTATGCAAGTGGCTATCTGTCTAAAGGTCCTGGTCATTTTGAGAGTGTGCATGATGTGTATTTTTCTTTTGACGAAGATTTGTGCTCTATGCCATCGTGCAATGAGTGTTCTTTCATTTGTTGCAGCCATTGTTTTCGTATTCTTTGCTTTAGACATTTTTTTTGTAAATGACTATAAACATTAAGAAAAACTTTATGTTCGTTGCAAAACAAGTAACCCAACATTCGCATTCCGATGAAAATTCATGTAGCTTTTAAATCAATTCTTTTCAAAACATGGTTAGGTACCATGTCTATTACCGAACACCATGTCTTCGAAAAGAAAAAAATTGAGAAAACAAAGTCACACTTCTAGATATACCCCTAATAATCACATGATCTTTTCTTTAGTTCATTCATAGCAAAACAAAGGCGATAAGCTATTTTGTGGAGTTACATGTACCTTATTCAACAGTACAAAACTCGATCTTAGCCATCATTACTTCAAAAAGAGGGTGTAGGTGTGGGTGTGGATGTGGGGTATGGGGTGTGGGTGTGGGATGTGGGGTGTGGGGGTGGAGTGTGGGTGTGCGAGTGGATATAAAGAGAATACCCGCACCCTAAGCCGCCCATACCCACACCCTAGCCACACCCACACCCACACCCACCACACCCTTTTAGGCTAAATAAAACTATTACACGCATATTTTGTGGAACTCACGTATATTTTCGAAGAAAATAGTGAGTGTAAGTTTTAAGTTCAAGGTTTTGCGGCTCCCCTCCACCCCCCCCCCCTCCCTTACAGACCATAGCAACGAAAGAGAACATTACATACGCATACCCCCCCCCTCCCCTTACAGACCATAGCAACCAAAAAAGAACATTACATA